CAAGATGTCTAATTTTTTATTCTAATTTGAATAAAATGTTTTGGGGAGAAGCGGTCAGAACTGCAGTTTATTTAACGAATCGAACTGCAACAAGTGCTTTACCAAAGAATGTTACACCAGCAGAGATTTGGTTCAATCAAAGACCAGACATGAATAAAATTCGAGTCTTTGGTTCAGTAGTACATAACCATATACCTAAAGAAGATAGAAAATCTAAGCTCGATTCTCATAGCCAAAAACGCATAATGGTTGGCTATACTGACAACGGATACAGGTTATGGGATAAGAAAAAAAGAAAGATAGTAACAGGAAAAAATGTTGTATTTGATGAAACCCAGTGTAAGTCAGAATCAATAAAATTAGTTGATGAAAATAATCAAAATGAAGAAACAAATCAGAAAGAGATAGGAAATGATGAAGATAAAAATAATGAAAATGAACCTGAAAAAACTAACAAAAATTCAGACAACAGAAGAAGTACTCGTATTAAAAAATTACCAATATATCTTGAAGATTATGAAATTGATCAAGAGTTTGAGACAAACATGATGACAGCTTTATCAGCAGGAAGTTTGCTATCAGAGCTGCCACAAACCTTCACCGAAACAGTTACTGATGGAGTTGGTCCCACCTCCAGAAAACGCAGAGATTATCGACTCAAAGTGGGTGTTTCGTGAGAAAGTTGTTAACGGGAAAGTGGTGAAAAAAGCTCGTCTTGTTGCTCGCGGTTTTAAACAGTATTCATTAGAAGAAGACGTATACGCTCCGGTAGCAAGAATGGTTACCATTAGGGTATTACTATCATTGTATATTGAGTATGATTTACATGTACTACAACTAGACGTAAGTTCTGCTTTTTTGTATGGTACATTAGATACTCCAGTATTTATGCGTCAACCTGAAGGACTTCAAGAAAACTCAAATTTAGTATGTAAACTAACTAAATCTCTTCATGGACTTAAATAATCTCCAAAGTGCTGGAATTCTCTTTTTCATAAGAATTTGACTGATTTAGGATTGAAACGCTCTAAAAAGGATCCATGTTTATACTTTGATAACTATACATTTCTTTTAGTATACGTTGATGATGTTATAATGTTTTCAGCAAACGAGATTATCCTGAATAACATAAAAATTAGTTTACTCCAAGATTTTAAGATGAAGGAATTCAAAAATGAAAAAATTACCTTCTTAGGCTTAGAAATCACTAAAGTTCATGAAGAATTGCATATTACTCAAAAGGAATTGATCAGAAAAATCTTACAAAAATTTAATTTGAGTAACTGTAAAACTTCAAGTATACCGATGCAGCCAAAACTGCAATTGCCTGCTCATAATAAAGCAAATGAAAAATGTCCATATCGTGAGCTTGTAGGCTCTCTAATGTACATAATGTTAGGTTCTAGGCCTGATCTTAGTTTTTGTATAACATATTTTAGTCAATTTCAAAACAGTTACACACAAGAACATTGGATTCATTTGAAAAACATATTGAGGTATTTTAAAGAAACAGAAAATTTTGGTTTAAAGTTTATCAAACTACTAATTCAAATATGAAATTGATATCCTATGTAGATTCTGATTATGCTAACAGTATAGTTGACAGAAAAAGCATAAGTGGATTTATTGTAAAATTAAATAAGAATATTGTTAATTGGAAAACTAAAAAACAAGATATTATAACCTTATCTAGTGCAGAGTCTGAATTTGTTGCACTGTCTGCATGCATAACAGAAAATCAATTTTTAGCACAGATGTTAACAGAAATTACAAATTTTAAAATTTATCCTATACATATTTTTGAGGATAATCAAAGTTGTATAAAAATGGCCTCAACTCTAGAATCAAAACGCACTAAACATATTGATGTTAAGTACCACTTCGTAAGAGATTGTATTGCTGATAATAAAGTTGAATTGTTCTATGTACAAACTAATGAACAGCTGGCTGATATGTTCACAAAACCATTACCAGCTCCGAAATTTAAATATTTCAGAAATCTCTTGAATGTTGCTTTATTGTAAACAATTTTATATTGTATAGGAAATTTTGTGTACTTTAAATATGGAATATACCTTTTATGATTTTACAGAATTGAAGGGAGGTGGTAATGTTAGCAATTCTGTACTTATACAAACAACCTTTTCTCTCATGTAATACTTCATTATGTTCCATACAGATGGCAGCACAAGATGTAACTATTGAATTCTCATTTTTCTGATAAAGTAGTAGTCTGTCACTGTCAGTAGTTAAGAAGCGTTTTGTATCAGTTCAATAAAGTTTATGTTCACAATCCCGAAATCCTGATCACTTACTATATTCAGCTCTGCATTATCCCATAGTTTTCCCATCATTGTTTCCAATTCTTCATTTGGTATCGTCTGGAAAAACTGATTTTTGTCACAAGACTCTGACTGAAAACAAACCTTTTCTTGCATTCCAGTAATGAGGGTCTGCTCTGATATTTCATCCGTATACGAGATGTCTGACTCATTACCACTTTTATCCGAGGAAAGTAAACTATTGAAATTGATATTTATCTCGTTTAGATTCTTACCCCTATATTGATCAGCATCTGCTTTCTCCATTATAAGACAGAATTTATTAACCTTTGCTACTTGAAAAACGTTTCCAGGTAGACGATAGAATATTTTATGAATATCTGTAGAGTGTCCCATGAAAGTGGCTAGCTGTTCAACATCATTTTTGATAGACGATAGAAAGTGAAAATCGATCGTTCAGACTAGGGTTTGAACCACCGACCAACACGGTAGTCATTTCGAGTGAGTGAACAAAGCACCCACGTAGAACAGCCTGGCTACGGTCAGTAGCCAGGTGAAATACTCAAATTATGAATGCAGTGCCAACCCAGTTGGTATAAACACGTCTGGGATGTTCCTGGCTCAGAAGCAGTCTTTATATACTGTGTAGGAGTTTTATCAGTTGTTACTCTGAAGGCTGAAACCGTATCAAAATTTTATAGTGCTCTACCGAAAGCCAGTATTTGAGGTAGGGAAGAGCATTGGTTAGCTCAGTGAAGACGGGTGGTTCCTATTTCCTAAGTAGTTCAAGTAATGCAACCTTTTCTTTGTGACTTTACAAAACTCACTTTCTAATATAGTAATACCTAAACCTGTACGTACTAGGGGTTGAAACAAGTCTAATTTATTCATGTTGTTAAACAAGTTATCTTGAAAATAATTACAAATAAATTGGCTGGTGACGAAATTGGGTGTCAGAAGAAAAAGACAATAATCAAAGAAATAATGGTGGTATTCATTCGATTCGTTAGCTTTTCTCCCTTTTTGGCTGCAACCTGAGAAGTTGAAACTGCACTCCCCTAACTTCATGTGGCTGAAGTTAGCTTTAGATTTAAATCCGATTCCTTCAATTTTACAGTTGACCAGATGAATAATGTTCATAATGATAGTTTCTCGAAATATGTCTACTTCACTATGAATTTTGGATGTAGAAATGCATGAATATATCACGCATATTGGGATTCATATCAAAGATTACACTAAAAAGGCGAGTCACTACCCTTAATAGAAATACCTTCAAAAAAGAGTTTATCAAACAATTGTCGAGATATACTTGGATTTAAAACACAAAATGATGCAAAATAACAGATTTAGTGAGAATTGAGAGGTAACCAGGCTGCTTGAACCTAGAAAGGGTGATCTCACCCCTATTTCTACAAGTAATTACAATGTTTACTGGTAATTGATATCTATCTACCACAAACATGAGGAGACTGGTAAAAATTTCATATTTCAAATAATGAAAAATGTTTCTCTGTATAAAATGCACATGTTGATTTATTATCGTTGATAGACTGAAAGGAGGTTCTACCCCTCATATAAAATATTGAATAGTCACTATTTACGCTTAAACAAAATATAAAGGGTGAAATCACCCCTATTTTCTCCGATATTCAACGCCTCTCCACCAAAAACCTGATTAGATTGGTGAAAACTATATGATGAACAATTTTACTCTTAATAGACTCCATATGGAGATTTATGAAAGTTAATAGACTGCAAGGGGGATTCAACCCCTACTATTAAAATCTACAATGAGAACATATGGAAAACAACCCCAATATCATGAGAATAAATATCATCCATATTAATTAATAATAAAAAGGGTGGTCCCACCCCTATTATGTCAATATATATATAAATTTCTGTTTGTCAAAAATTGAACGAGATCGGAAAAATTTCCAGTACTCAAATGATTCATTATAACCCTCTCGATGAAACGCATATGAGGATGTATAACACAGATCAGCTCATAAGGGCAAGTCCCACCCCCAAAATTATTATGTTTAAAAAAGTGTTCGGCAAGTACCTGTTGAGATCGACTAGAATCGGAAACAAAAACGTAGTCAGAATGAGCCTTATCAAAATATTGAATGGTCAATATTCAGGCTAAAGCAAAATAAAAAGGGTATTTTGTCACTGTTCCACGATGATATTAGTGTGGAACAGGTACCCGAGAGGCGAAAAATACCTGTTCCATGTGTTCCGAGTTCCAAGAGAACGCGTTTTACTCTACTCGTCGATTCGATATCCTTATTTTTTAACAGGCCACAAACAGTGTGCTGTTCGACTGGCTGCTGTGTGACAGCTGAATGTATTTGAATTTTTTGATCAGATGATGACCTCCACTATATTACTTTATAGTGGAATTTAGTTATTCAATCCTGTCAAAAAAAATATAAGAATAATTTATTTTTCCGATCGAATCGAGATGAATGATTTTCAGAAGATATTTTTCGAACATAATGATATCCAATCTACTGACAACAGAAAGAATCGGTGAATAAATGCTATGAAGTTTTCTATACGTATACAAAATGTTTGAGGATATGGCAGCATAGATAGGAAAATGTCGTTTAGGAAGAGGAAGTGTAACGGGATAATCATCTACTTAAAAATATATAGTTCAAAATATTGATAATGAAATCAACTTCATGAGAAAACGTATAGGCATGCGCTTCAATAAGGAAACGTTTTTCAAAATAGGCTCTAACGGATATAATTTCCCACTAGACTCCAAATCTCAATTTCCGGCCTACTCAGGACGGGAAGGAGAAACAGATCGACCTGATTTGGTCATTTTTTCTTTTCGCTCCGTGTGTGTTCAGAAAGAACCATTTTGGAAAATCTGTCTATTAGACACCTCATAGAGGATTAATTTCCATAAGGTTTCATTTCAAGTGAAAAGGTGCCTGTTAGTTTCGTACTTATAGAGTATTGCTATTGTTTGGTTGTGGCCCTCTCACCCTATTCAGGGATCAGAGAACCCCACGTGAGTACGCCATTTTTGTCAACCTTTTCCGTCCATTTGTGCTTTTTTGAGACGTTTTCTCATTTTCATTTTCTCCTATTATAGGGCGATCTACGTGTGATTAGTTCATAGACGATTTTGTTTAACCATTACGAGTTGGGATTTACTCAAATCAGTATTTTGGAAAAATACTGAAATCTATTTTGTGGAAACCGAAAAAGAAATACTTGTCTTCAGTATTTCTCCGGATTTTATTGTAAATGAAACCCTTCTGAACTGGAAGGTAAGTTGCTCTAATTCAGACGGAGTGTACCTAAAGTGTCTTGTGTAAAATATTTGTTGTTTTCATTTGTTTTTTTAGTATACGGTTACTAGACATTTGCCAATAAAAATATATAATATCATAGTAACGTTCTATCATAATTTATTTTATTTTTGTTATTGATTCTTCCGCTGGAAATCAGCGCATTAATTTTTACTTTCGATAATTTCAGTAGATTCTTGCCATGTTATCATATATATTAGAAAACTTTTGGTTTTTTATTGAAGGTAAAGAAAATAGAATATTACTTTTCATATCGATCACTGTTTTACGGTGTTGTCCCATTAATTTAAAGTCATTAAGGATGCTACTTTTGTATTATGTACTTAGGATGATTTCAATAGAAATCAATGAGGATTTTTTTTTCTTTAAAGGGTTTTTTTTGGGGGGTACCGTTTTCCTGTAGGAAGAATTCACGCCAGATCAACAACCACTCTGGAACATTTTGACTACCTATCTTGGCGGATTCTTTAGATTCAAGATTGTTGTTTGGACTTGGGGGCGGAGAAGACGCGCAAGTACCTGAAACAATAAAAAAATTGACTATATTTTTTTCATATATTATTCACATTATCGTGATTAATAACTTACTGTTAATTGTGTAAAGCGGAAATTAAGTCGTGTTTTGAACCAGTTAATTATTTTTTCGTGATACTGAGTCTGCGCTCTGTCTGGGCCCACAGCAAATGACTTCGGAATCCTTGTAAAATATTCTTGAAGGTGAGTTACCTGCGGCTTCACTTCCTGCTCTTTGTGTATTTAAGTTTGATTTATACGTAGCTGGCTCTATTTTTTTTTATTGAGAAGTTTAAGGTAACTAGTAAGGAAACTTAGAAAGTTATCAACTCCGTTTGGCTTTAAGTATTGATTTGAATTTGTTTAAAACACATCGATTAAATCCATGGATGCTAAAAGTTTTTTTCAACCTGTGCTAATTTTATTTTCACGTTATCAATATACTGATCTATTGGAATGGTGGCTGGTCAATTTTATTTCTTTTCTCTTGGTAAGTTGGAGAATTGGTAAAGATATTAGTGAAATCTATTGGCATTTCAACTTACCTGGCGCCCAAATATTTACTGGTACATTTACAAGTACTGGAATACAATGATGAAAACAGTTATGAAACTTGATATGGAATGATAATTTACGATTGGTCCATTCATTTCTGGAAGGACATTTTTTGTTCAGTCATTATTTCCAAGTATTGACTATTCGAAGAAGTTCTCTTTCATCCAAAGAGCTTGAGACAGTTCGTTCTGGAACTCAAAACATTCTCACACTGCATATAGAGAGATGGAGAATATAGAGAAAATATGTTGGGGAAAAGTATATTTAAAATTTTCGTAAAACCAGCACAAAATTTTCGTCATTAGTACAAGTGTTTCAAATATTCTATTATTTGATCATGATTCGATGCAAAAAGTTATCAATGGTCATCGGAGTATATACATTTCTGGATCGTATTCTCTTTTATCAAAATAAATCACACAATTTCATGGCATATCAGTATGCGGACGGCCGATTAACTAGATGACGACCGTATAAATTACCTGAGACCTCTCTAACCATATTAGTATCAGTAAAAGTTCAGTGATAGTGATATACCATATATCGTGACAAATTCTGTTCATCTCGTAACAAATCAGAAGGAAGAGAAGAAACATTTCATTTCATTCAATTCACAGCAAGTAAAGAAACATGTCTGTGTACTACAAATTCAGGTCAGTTGTGAAACATGAAAGGATTACATTAGATGGACAACATATTTCGGTGAAGGACTTGAAGGAAGCCATTATGCTACAGAAAAGGATTGGGGAAAACGGTGATGTTGACTTACAAGTAATGGATGCTCAAACTAAATTAGTTTACATGGATGGGAACTTCTTGATACCAAAAAATTCATCACTTCTCATTGCAAGAGTACCAGTAAGTCCTCAAAAAACGAAACAGTGGGAGAGTCGTGAAGGAGAGTTTATTGGACTTCCGAAAGTAGATGAGGATGGTCCTATTGAAAAATCTGCGAACTTGTTTCGAGGTATCAATCGAATGGACAGTGTACCTCCAAATTATAGATGCCACAAATGTCACCAAGGAGGCCATTGGATGAAAGATTGTTATTTCACTGATGGAATCGTTGGAGGTCTTCAATTACCCGGAGCGAAGATGATTATGGTGGATTGTGAGGCACCTGAAAACTTGATCGAGAATAACAAGTTCGAAAATTTGCTGTTTCATGTAGGGGACCGTAGTGTCAATATCGACTTGCATTCAGTTCGAGGGCTGACGTCATCACCACCTGAAGTTTCAGATGTGATTTTCAATACAGAGGCTGACAATGATGAGTCTGCGAAATCTTCATTCCCTGAAGAAAGTGACTCCATTGATCCTTCTACATCAAAAAATCTGTATTCAATAATGAGTTCTCCTGGTGACATATCGGTAACACCAACGCTTGATGAAGCTACAGCAATGTCTAACAGTGTCGTCCAACTTTGTTTTGATTTTCCTAGATTGTCGCTGACAACTGTTCAGAATCCCCCGCATGCTGGATCACCTTTTTCCAGGAGAAATCCGTTTCCTCCAAATAGGGAGCATCATGCACGTTCGGGCAGTTCTTTTGAAAATTCAAAACATTCACACATGGGGGTAGGTGATCTTTCGAACCAGTTAGACCGCAACATGGGTAGGGGCATACCTTCCAGGAAGAGAAAGATGCATTTCTGGTCTCCTCCACGTAAAGAGCGCCGCAGGCGTTATGGCGATTCTCCTCAAAATTCACCAAGAAAGGAGATAAATGTTCGAATGATCAGGGCTATAGCAGGGGACGGACCGTTTCCTACAGAAATTTAGAGACACATGTTTGCTCACTTTGTCCTCCATAGGAGTCGCAGGCTTGATGACACATTTCAAATTGATAATGGAGTTTAAGCCGAAGACATTATATCAGGTCCATGTATAGGGGATGATGATTTGTGATATATAGATATGGAAGTAAGTAACTTGACTAATCAGTTTTGTGTAACTTGGTTGTGAATAAAAAATAATAGAAATATTTTGTTTGATTACCATATCATCCATTTGGTTGTTCTTAGGTGACTGGTATTCATTAAGACTATTGTATTATATTGTATAATACTCTAATAATTTAATTATAGGTGTCAAACACCCCCTCTCCAGGATCTATGTCGGATCACCAGTTGATATAATGGAATGTCCATTCCGCATTTGAACTGAAACATGAAGCAGATACGAGCTGTTCATGTTTGTTCACAATGTTCATTTTTTATATTGATGACATAGGACTTCGTCATCGTCAAAAATTTTCATAAAAGGTTATTTCAATTACGAAGAGTTGAATATTTTCAATAATAAGATGAATAAAATAAATATTAATGTTCCGTTTAACAGGTTTTCAGAAAAAAATTATATTCAAATGAAAATTTATTATGAGATATTCGCTGCACAGTTCAAACAGTTAGGTGTGAACTACTCAATGATTTAGGCATTGTTGAATGCCTACCTAATCGATCTCTGATAATTTTTCCAGAGTTCAGATATAAATTGAAAGATTGAACACTATAAAGGGGATTTCAGCAACTCCTTGAATAAACATGTAATAATCTAATTACAAATCAATCGATAGAGTGATTTATTACCCCATTTCGGACTGTGTATTTGTTGTTTGTTCGTACTTTGGGATGCCTCTCTTGCATTCGATTCGTTCAACCATAAACATTATTGCCATATCTCTGAATAGTAATAAAGTGCGGTGGGGAATGATACAGTTCGTTTGCTTCATTTACCCGAGATAGGGATGGAATAGGAATGGAATAGGAAGAAAATACTGATAGTAGATTCAACTTTGACATGACTCATCATTCGATTTCGATTAGATACGTTGTAACTTTGATTAAAGTCTAGATGAAATAAACGTTAGAAAACCAGTATCACTGTTTCACTACACGAACATGCGGTCCTTCGAGCTGGAATATTAGACGAAAATTCAACTGAAAATTGAAAATTACAAGTGAATTGAGTAATTACAACAAAGACATTTGTCCAGTGGATAATCGACCAAACAAGTTCTGAGGTGGGGACAGTCGAGAACCACAAGCTGGATGACTGAACTTTCACATCAAGGTACATACCGGTTTTATCCCTTTTTCTGTCCTTTATTTATTATACTATTCAATACGAATCAAGTGAAGATTTGAATATTTGTGAATTTCAATTTGCATTATATGTTGAAAAATAACGTTCACATACGTTATTATTTGGAGAATAATTACCTATACGATTTAGGGTGTTACACCTAATAAATTAACATTATTTGATTTAAATTATACGAAAAAACAATCTGAGACAATGCCAATCAATAATAAATTAACACGAAAACGAGCTAGCAGTAATATAGCCTCGCCCATTTCTTATGGGAAAAGCACGTGTAAATTTGAGCAGGTTTATTCTGGCGTTTTTTTGGGCCTCAGGCTCAGTTCATACGGAAGGGACAAAAGTCAGCGCCTCGTCTCTGCCAGACGTCCATTCTGTGTGAATGGGGCTTTAGACTTTCAGAGTCCACTTCTTCACTTTTGTCGTCATTCAGTCAACCAATCAGCTACCGCGCATACAGCGGAAAATAAATTCAAACCACCAGTAGATGAACAGTTCGGTCCGAACGCAAAATTCCATGTATTTTCTTATGGAGCTAAACTTTTTGCAATTTTTCGTTCAAACAGGAGTGGGGGAAACTTGTGACATCATCGACGCAGGATGGAACTTCGCCCCTCGGCCCCTTAGTACTCCGCATCACCGCTCAGGCCCCCTTGCGACTCCGCCTCACCCTTTGGCCTCCTCGTCACGTTCCAATCACGTGATCCTAATTAAAAAAATTTCATAGTTATGAGAATCGAACCCGGTTCGTCCGCGTGGTAGGCGTTACTCTGAGCCTCGACACCAATGTAAGATATTGGATATGATTGCGAATGATGGGTATTTATAGCGTTTGTTTTCAGGCTATCATTTTTTCTATAACTTGTCACTAGATGGCTAGTTAGCTAGTTTATTGTATAAGTTTGAGAATGTCCATAAAGGACGAAACTGCAGTAACGTTAGTTATAAATAAAAGTGATGAAAAACTTAGAAAGTATTTGTTCAATCCCTCCTATTTTTATAACTATCTTCTAATGTTCGATCCCTCCTATTCTCTTAACTATCTTCTGGTGATCACTCTATGAAATCAAACACTCTCATTTATTTCTCACGTCCACTCTCGCTTGCTATTCTATAACGAAAGAATCTTGAACCATCCCCAACAAAGGGAACTGAGTCAGCGTTATACAATCTCATAACGTTCATAGACGTGCATTTATTTCTGATTTCCATTATTGGTATTCTTACAATATTTCAGTACACTACATCTCTCCTCTTTCTAGTAATTTGTAATAACGATGATAATAATGATTATGATAATACTAGTAGTTATAATACATACTAAAATATTCAAATATATTTTTCAAAACACAAAACTAATGAAGACCTAATATTATAAATATGTTAGAACATTACATCCAGTAGTTTGTAACAACAAATCAATAATGATAGTTAATAGATAATATATAATTATTATAAACAATGTATCGTTTTATTTTGAGATANCTTCCTTCCTTCCTTCCTTCCTTCCTTCCTTCCACGGCCTATAACCGTGGTTTTTTTCATCCATCAAAATAAGAAAATACGAGAAAATTTTGTTGAATGATGGAAAAGTGGCAAGCCAAAATTATTTTCCCCATAAAACTGATATCTACTAAAATATTACCTTTTCCATTCGAATAAATTCTATGGCTAGAATTTCCAGTGAGAAAATCGTAATCTTATAAAAATATGAGTGTCTCGTCTTATAATGTTTTCCAAAACAGTGCTGATGAGGTGATGAAAAAAGTGTCATTCATTAAATATCAACATTTCTATGAATGATACCTGTTTCACTCCCATAATGAATGTTTCCAATACAAACTGAATTGGAAAAATGTATTCTCGTGTAATTCAATACTCATATGAATGTAGTTATTTCAA